TTACACGAAAACTACGACCCCCGTTGTTGGTATTGGGAACTAGTGGAGACAGTTCGAAAGGTTATTTTGACATCTGGATTGATCCTTCTTGGTGGCGAGAGCAGAGCTTACATTGCGCTAGCATTGCTTTTATCTGGACTGTACGGGATGTATTTCGGGCTAAAAAAGCCCATAAGTGATCGGTTCGAAAACAACCTTATGCTGTCTTCACTTGCCGTTACGTTCGTAAACCTTGCAATAGGAGCCGTGAGCACAATCCCGAGTGAAGGTTTTTCGACAACAGTCGACCCGGTCGTGGATACTCTGGTGTTCAATGGCTTGGTCTTTGTTGCCAACACCTTGGTTATTGGAATTCTTGTCGGTAAGTTATCATCATGCATTCTATTCTTCTGTCACACAATCCCTTTACATTTAACAGTGAGGTTCATACCTTAACTGGGCACCAGACTGATTAACTTGGTAAAAGTTCTTGCAATGAAAGATACATAGCTTACTTCATAATTAATGAGTGCGCACGATTCACGAGTTGTACTGAGCGAACCATAGCAGTGATAATCTGAAGTAATTTGCTTATTAAATGAGTACTAAGATATAACGAAAGTTCTTTTTCTTTTTTTTACTTTTAATCACGACCAAATCAAATAGGCCTTGGAAAGGTCTTCTTAGCTCATTCCTCTACGAACAGTGATATACTTGCACTTGTTGGTAAAACTAGCTTAATTAAAATGAGGTTACAGGATATTGCCATTTTTATGTTTAAAATCAACAAAACATTATTACCAACAAATACATCGCAACTCTCACTTAACGGTCAAAGTTAGGTATGAGCGATAGAAACGAGATATCATTAAAAAAATCATAGACAGCATAAAGAAAAAGGACTTGGAGGGGGCAGGGGTGTTAATTCAAGAAGAAACATGTAAGGGATGTTAATTATGTATGACTTACGTCAGTTTAAAAGTAGCTGTGAAGTATTGCAATAAGATTATTTTATTTTAGAAACCTTCATCTTAGATAGTTGATAATTAATCCAGATTTGGACTGAACTGGATTTTCAGAAGCCGATATCTTTTATTAACTACTTTTTATAACATCTATATGTTAACAATTTTTGAAATAATTAGTTTAGCTATGGTAATAAATCTTAATATTATACTGTAATAACTAATTTTCACGTAAAAGTATTCCCGATTAGTGGGCCTCCTTAGGCGTCCTAGAAGACCTAATTACACTTAATTAAAGTTGTATGTATGTTGTGTATGTGTGTACCATCTTTGTTGTTTAGAGAAAAATTCGTATGCGGCGCGTAATTGTTCATACAACATTTTTCACTTGTGAGAAAAACCGTTTGACCAGTCAGGTTGGTTTTGCTTTGTTTAGAGTCAATCTCGGTACTTTTGAAATAAAATAATGTAATGACCTCTGAGTTTATTTCAAAATTATGAAGTTTTCTAGTTTTTTTTTTCAATGTATTACTAACGCTTCACCTGAATTAGAAAAAATGCTAAACGATTTTATCCACGTGATATACCTTTTTATCACCAGTTAGATGATAATATTGTAGTCATCCCCTGTATATACTTACTGCCTTTGTGGCACTGCAAATGAAGAACAAATGAAAGGTAAACAGGAGAAATTTAAAAAAAGACACTCTGATGGTGATAGTACCGTACCGTGATATGATCCGAGAAAGGTTAACCCTTTAAGTCCCAATATCCACATACAAATTCTCCAAACGGATCTCTATATATTTCCTTAAAGAATGAGTTCAGAGAATTTGATAAAAGATCAAACATTTTCTCTTAGCTGATCATTTTATTAATTCTCATAACTTTATCTCTTGACAGTGTATGTCTATCGTTATGAGAAAATTGATGTTGGTCACTATTGGGACTTAAAGGTTTAAAAACATCGTAAGGTACCTTCAAACTTTGTTTCAAAACATTCTGCAATATTATTTTACTTCTTTAGCACTTCGGGTATTTTACCTTCAATTGTTAAATCAGTTCTTTCAAGGCTTTTTGTGAAAACAGATAGTTTTTTTAATCATTATCACCATTGTACTGTTCTCGTGCAAGTAACCGCCTTCGGGTCTTTCCTCTGTGATGAAAGGTTAATATAAATTGAATCTATAAAGGCCAAGTTTTAATTTGAACGAGTGTTTATTTTGTTTCAGTGCAATATCTGGTGTATCTTTACCACTTTGTAAAAGAATGGCGCAAGCATCCAAAGTGGTCATTCTCCTGCTGCCTGGCCTTGCTATTGCCACTTAATCAACTACAAGGAGAGATACGCGGATTAACTGGGAAAAACATACTAAATCAGCAACTGCAAACTGGTGACATCGAGTTGCCAACCATTGCAAGTACTTTGAGGGAGAGTGGGGCAGTTGATGTTACTCTTGAAGACCATAGTGCTGAACGAGAACAGGAGGCAACAACTGACGAGAAAACCATTGAACACGGCGTTTTGACAGTTGCAAAGGTGATCTGTGCTAGTGCTTTAAGGGAGAGTGGGGCATTTGATGTTACTCTTGAAGATCACAATGCAGAACGTGAACAAGAGGACACAACAACTGACGAGAAAACCATTGAACAGGGCGTTTTGACAACTGCAAAGGTGATCTGTGCTAGTGCTTTAAGGGAGAGTGGGGCATTTGATGTTACTCTTGAAGATCATGATGCAGAAAGTGAAAAAGAGGACACAACAACTGACGAGGAAAGCATTGAACAGGGCGTTCAGACAATTGTAAAGGTGGTTATTCATGAGCCTCCAAGAGAAACTTACGAAACCAAACTCTAATTAGGGCCAGTTATTTAAACGGAGTTTAGCTGGTGTTTAATAAAACTGTTTTCTCATCAATTTTCAGTTTGCTCAACGCTACTTTCTTAACACTTTTTATCGTGAAAGGTTTCATGAAAGCATGATCATGAGGTGTGTACTGGAAAAGCACTTATTCTCTTAAAATAACCCACAGAGGAAGATATCTGCTTGGAGGGACAAAGCTTTGCTAAACCGAGGCCTAAATTAGACTCCGTTTACTGAATAACCGACCCTAAGTATATAAACGTGTCTGACGAGTTAAAAATGAAGTTCCACTACGTCTTCTTTCTCCATAAAGAAGGATGAAAATAGATTATCTAGCGTTAGGTAAAGTAGGGTATAGAATCATGAATTAGTATAGGTAATAGCATGATTTGTATAGTGATATTTGGCATAAATACCACGAGCGATATTTCGAAATTGTTTTTCGAAATTTCACGAGCCGTTAGGCGAGTGAAATTTGAAACAATTTTGAAATATCACGAGTGGTATTCATGCCAAATAGCACGTTCAAATAATGCTATTATTTGTTCATACTACTACCCGCAAAAGGTTTGTAATTTTCACATGTAGGTATTTCACATTAAGCTGAAATACCACTGCTTAAAGCCCATCAAATTGCAGAAATTTCTAATGTAGTAGTATAAGGATTGAAATCATTCCCTCGTTTGAGTCAGTAAATGTTATGAGTAGGGATATTTCCTCTTACTGACAGAAACCTTGGTTCTAAGTTACAAATTATCCAAGTTGTACAAGATATTTAACAGTATAATTTATTGATAATGGTAAGGGGTCTTAACTAACTCTAATTTAACCTACACAATCGAACCTCCCGAAAGTGACCCCCTAAATTGCGAAGAATAAGTAGCCGCTTCCATGATGTGGTCAGTTATGAGAGTGAAAGGAGGTCTTTTGACCGGAGTGAGAAGTTCGGATACATCTAAGTTTTTGAAAGAATACATTGCACTGCATTTTAAGGTTACAGTATATGTAAATCCATGTTGTTTTTTTTCTCTAAAACTTCTGCTCATATTCTGAGTAGCGCAGTACCATACATACAGGGAACACAAAGATCAGACCATTGTATCAGGTAGCAGTTGCTTAAACAGGTTAAGAACAGTGGAAAATTCTTAAATTGTCATGCTAAAAAGTGATTGCGTTCGATTACGAAAAATTCCAACTAAAAAGCTGTGAATGGGAAAATTTTGGTGTTTCAGATAAGTGGCCGTTTATGGGAGCTGGTCGCTTGCGAAATGTGGTCGCACATACAGGTTGGATTGTACTAATAGTTTTCGTTGATCAGTTCAAATGAAATTAGGTGGTTTTAAGCTTAGTGAGATGAGTGTAGATACATAAGATTTGAGACTTACAGACTTAAGTGTAGTCCTGTTCTACAGAACGACACTCGAAACACCTGAATCTTAATTTGAGAATTTTCCTGCAAAACTTACCTCATAGCAGAGGAAAAATCACTTTAGGTTCGCACAATGCGGCAACGACAATATAATGGCTGTCCGTCTCAAACCAAGTGTGATACTTCATCTTAAATTTTCTGGAATCTCTCAGATGGAGTAGATCGATCCAACTGCTATTCTATTTTTATTTTAATTTTTATTTTCAGCTATTCACTAAAAGTTCACTTTAAAGTTATTTTCTTTGCCTTCCTAACTTATGCTAACTGGAAACATACGAGCAGAGATCTTTCGTTTTCTCAGAACTGTGTTTTTCTTCTCCGATCGAAATGTCAAACAAAGTGGCAATGCCATAGTGGAAATTTTAGTGAAGTTTCCAAACGTCAAATAGATTGACAAAACAGTGAATAGAGAAATGACAACCGATCACCTTTTAAGTACCCGCTTTCTTAGCTTCTTAGCTTAACTTGTTTACACCTGAATTTATAATTCTTCAAATGCATAAGTTGATTCACTAACGTCTTTTGCTTAAGGAGAATTTGTCGGGGTCTTTCGTCTAGGACTTCTCAAACTAGAGTCGGAAACCTGTATCCAACGTTCAATGGACCGACAATAGACCCTAGATTAATTCCTTTTCACTAATAGTAATCTTATTTTAACTGGATATTGAACTGAAATCGTTGTGCTTACCTCAAGGAAGTGTTTTTTGTTTGTTTGTTTGTTTTTTTTGTTTGTTTGTTTATAACCAGAAACTATCAGTTGTTTCATTATACATGCCAACCATAAACACCCGTTGTAGGATTGTAGCCTTGAGTGTTGTAGTTAACTTTATGATTGTGGAAGTTTTAAATGGCAAAGAACTTCCACACAATTGAGTTTGCAAGGAAACACAGTTTAATTCAAAAGACGGGTGAAGCAAATGTTACTACTCTTGTGCTTTTCCCGTCAGGATTTTTAATAATTCAGTATTACTTCCTGGGAAAGATTTGCACATAGGGAAAGTAAAATTGCTTAGTTATAAAGAGTATTTGTTTGTAGGACGTACGATTTTCTCAGGTTGGTCGAGAACTAATTATATGCTTGACAACTTTAAACATTACTATATTTACATTAATTTTATGTCTATTTTATCGCCTAGTATAAGTAGCTTAAGCTTGTTGCGCTAAAACCTGTAACAATGTCATTCAGGTCTTTCTGGTAGAAGTTTTTCTAGAGGCAAGCATGATCGCCAAGCATGGATAGCATGTAACCGCGTTTAACTTACTGACGTAAGATAAGAACATCAATTTTTTTTTCATGCTACGATCGTTGGGCTTGACAACACATTTCATAAGGTTCTAGCGCGACAAATAAACAGCACTTTTAATCTGCAATGACCTATATTTCATTGCAATATAAATTCAAGTGCTAAGCTGGTAAAGGATATAGTATATAATTTATGGAAACATTTATCAAGTTTTTCATGGGTCTGGGAAAACCAAAATACGATATTAATAATGTGGCACTGTTTGGATTTGGTCATCTTTCCGGTATCATTTTACTCCTGGCAATTGTAGTTAATTAAACAATTAGGAGGCTGTTGAATGAGTTATTGCTTGCTCGTGATATCATCGGGTCTAAGAGCGGTGAAAATGATCTATTTGTTGTGATGTAAGAATGAGGCAAATCTTATCCACCCTTTAGGCCTGACCGGTGCCACCGTAAACTTGGTTTGACCTGAGCCATTTTGCTCTTACATTTTAGCTTTGCAGCTTTTCAGTCTTGCACTGGAACCAAAAACCCAAAAAAACATTAAAATTAATAAAAATGCTTCGGTCAAGTAACGTCATTTACATAAAAAAACTGCATGATTATTGTTGTAGCGTTGTGCCTTTGAGAATATAATTTAATACGCTTGTAGTTGAAATGACGTGCAAATCTCAGGCAAACATGTTTGGCAAGGAAGCACAGTTCGGCTTTTAAAGAGAAAAATACAAGTTTACCAGTCATGTTTTCAGAAATACGTCCCCTAGCTACCTCATAACCAGACCAAAACAAAAAAGAGTCTGTCTAGATCTCTTTTAAAAAAAGCAAATAGAGTCGCAAGAGCTAAAACACGGCATTCCAGATGATCACAAGAACAGTTACCTGCCCAACAGGAATAGATTCAAGGATTTTGAGGTATTAGGTAAAACTGGAATAAAACTGTTTTAACTCGGCAGTGTCTTTTTTTTGGTCGTTTGGTTTTTCCAGATAAAGTGTGAGGACATGGACGCGTCCTTTCGGTTTTCTTTGCCACAGGGATACAAATACAAGAGCTTCCTATGATCGGCCACAAAATGAACATGTTTACCAGAGAAGGCTTTTTCACATGCAAAAGGATTTTGCCTTTTACCAGTTATAAAGATGGAAATATGTAAACAAAGGTTAGATACAAACAACAGTGTTATATGTGAGCTGGTTTCTATTTGCTGTGAATCAGATAACATCAATAAAGCCTATGACCTGCACTAAATGTCTTCGACGTGTACAATATGCATGGAAAACAATTTCTTTGCACAATACTTACCTATTGTGGTCTACACTCCAATATTGCTGGAGAATCATTGTTTATCAGTATACATGTAGTTGAGCCATTTTCTTAGTTCGTGCTCGCGCTGTGATTGGTCAATTTAGCGGGCCCCAATTTACTGTAATTGCCGCACCGAATTCAATTAACCCATATAAGTACTTCAATAAGAGGCAGTGGATGTTCCGTATTTTCTTCATTAATCTTCATTAATGGTATCGAATCAATCTTTTCAGACCTCTTGATAATAAACCATGAGAATGACTTACAACATTCTCTATTTAGCAAACTGTTTTTGTAAGCACCAGACAATTGACACTTTATCTACAAGGCTCATGTCCAAGTCACTCAGTTATTTCAAGGCTGTAACATTTTGCTTGTTACATTTCGCGTTAAAAATATTGTTTCATTTTGCGTCAAAAAGTTGTTACATTTCGCGATAAAAAGTTGTTACATTTTGCGTCAAAGGTTGTTTCATTTCGGGCTAATGTTACATTTCGCGTCAAAAGTTGTTACATTTCGCGTTAATGTTACATTTTGCGTCAATTGTTACATTTTGCGGCGTAACACTCGTCTTTAGGGCACTGGAATCCTCTTTTTTTTTTTTCGTTTTTTTTTTG